ATTCTTCATTGATCTTAGTTTATTATAAGAATCATTTCCGTGTATCGCTGCATATAGTAAGATAAATATTCTGAATATAAATTACGAAACTATAGGTAAAAAGCAAAAGTCAGTGCGTATTAATAGTTGATCTGAAAATGTCACTAAATTTTTATTTGTGTGAATATCCTAATATTTTTTTAGCAGTTGTACAGTAGAGTTACTTCTGTTTGCAATAGAACCTGTATAATGCAGAAACTTGTTTACTGTGAAAGAATCGCTCGAACACATAAGATTCTATTATAGACAGGTTTTTTTATAAAGTTCTGTGCAATAGAGAACAACGTCATTTGTAATAATAGTTCATGCAAGAAAGAAAACGTAATGAATGATAATGTGAAAATCATTTATTACGAACGTTATATATTCTTTTATTGTTATAATTTTATTTTATTTAAAATATTCAAGTATTGAATTATAAATCATTCTTCCTAAAAATGATTTTCATACTAATAAATTATAAACCTTATATAGATTATGTTGCCTACGTATCATACAATCACTGTTTAATAATTATGAATATTTCCTGTTTAACTTAATAAACAAAACAAAAAGTCTCATGAAAATAGACTTGAAGTTCTTGGAATCACTCCAAAACAACTTAAGGTTTTACTGCAGCAGAAATGCACAATTTTTAAAACTATATATTATTTAGATTTTATTGAACACATGTAATTATTGTTGCTTTAACTTATTATTAGTTTGAATAACGTTTATTAATCATATTTGTGTATTCTCTGTTTAATGGCGTATAGGTAATATGTAGATTTTTTCTCAGTAATTAATTAAAAAAAATCATTACCATCATATAAATTACATTTAGATTTAAGAAAATATTTATTATCTTTGACAAATTAATCTATAAAATTACGTACTTTAATAGGACGAGAGAAATAAAATATTTTTTACAAATACATTAATCTAGGTTTATCAGTCGAAACTGTTTCTCAGGAATTTCGTTGAAAATATGGCGCTGCAATTATGCACTATGATAAACTATCGAAAAATTACAAATTAAATTATTTTTCATGAAAATTTATGTTTAAATTTGTTTAATTTAATCTTGTAAAGCCATAAATATATGAGTGTTTATTATGTTTTTTAGTATAATTTATTTATTTATAATAAAACTTTTTTTAATACATATAATTACTACTTATATAGTGTAGTTAAATCTAAACATGTTGAAACACAAGTTTAATTATTATTTTATTATTATAGTCGAAATTATTTCAATTCAGTATTCTTAATTGTTTTTTACAGTAATATAATACCTAAAATATTTAATGAAGGTTTAGGTTGTAAAATTGTTAATTACCAAATGTCATCATTATTTTTAATTAAAAATAGTAAATTTATTATATTTTATATTTTCAAATTATTTGTTTTATTTTTCCAAATTCTGAAACTGTAACATAGAAAAAATGCAAAGACTCAAAATAGTTAACAATAAATAAAACGTAGGAAAATAAGCTTTTATATTTATTTTTTTATATATATTAGAAGCACCTACTCTTTATCAAAGCATATATGAGTGTTTTGGCTGCAATTTGAAAAACAACAAAAAATTGTAGACATAAATCCTACGGTCGACTCAATATTGAGAATAGAAATAGAAAAATAAAAAAAATCTGGAAACTATATTGAAAAGAGACTCCGACGAACTATATGGGAAATTCTAATGAAAACAGTAACTCACGTTAATTTAATTCAATATTTTCTCCAAAAGATTTTAAATACGTTACCGGAAAGACTCTCTTGCTAAAACGAAAACTACAGGGGCAAGCCGTTACTTATTTGATACGAAGTGTATGCATTTTAAATTAAATAAATTATAAATATGATTCAAATTTGTAACATAGCGTTATGACGATGTAAAAATACATAAATGCTCGTTAAATTTTGATATTTTCATGTTTTTATATAAACAATATATACAATAAAGGCAAGTGTACAATGTTCGTGCCGCTAAAACTCAAAAAAAAGTTTCGATACGATCAAGGGATTTATGTGGTGTGCTAGCCCTCTACGCCCCATCCATGAAGTAGGTTCCCATTTTTACCTGAAGGGCGTGCTGTTGTAGATATAAGAGTTAAAAATTTCGCCCTCTAAAAATTTCTAGAACAGTCCAGAACATTCGAGAGTGTTCGAGAGCATTCCACAACATCCCAGAACCCTCGAATGTTGTGGAATGTTTTGGAACATTGCGGACCATTCGAAGCCTTTTTCGTATGGGTAGGACTATTCATTGCTGGAGTATATAAAGCAAGATCCGTCGTGGGTTAGAATGTCAGTTTCTTATCAGTGACGAAAGGAAGAACCGAAAAAGAAGTGAAAATTCCAAAGTAGTGCAGTGAGTGCATAAAAACAAACAGTGAGTGTGAGTAGTCAAAGTGATACATTAACTGAATATATAATACAAAATCGAAAATAAAGTGTGAAAACTATGTAAAGTGTACTTAGTGTATTTGATACTAAAAAGTTGATTTGATTTATATTTTATCTAACTGCCGAAACTTAAAAGAGAAGTAGCTCTTGCTAGTTCCGATTTTTTTTAATATTAAAGTTGATATCGTCGACAATATTAATTTTAGTTGCCAATATTGCCCTTTGAAATAGCCACTCCGAATAATAATAAGAAGCGCAGAACCCAAACGGTAAGGAGTTGAATGTTGAAATTTGGTACACAGTTAAAGTGCGTCATGAGAATGTACAGTAAGAAAAGATTTTTCGAAATTCCCCTTGCGAAGAGAGGGTGTAAACAATGAAAATGTTAACAATGGAAGTGGTTAATTAAGTAATAATTGAAGTGTTAAGAGAAAGCGACGTGCAAGACACAGATACAGTTTTTTTCGTTTTTACGAGAAATCGAAAATAATTTTAGACCCATCTAAAAATTTTCTAACTACTCTGAAAACAGGGCAACCTAATTCTTGCATTCTGAGAAAACGGGTAAGATTGGCTATAATGTAATAATCTTAACTTTCTCTATTTTTAATTTTTTCAGGCAACGCCGGGCTCATCTGCTAGTAATTAATTAATTAATAAGAAATAGTAAAGGGGAAAATTACGTTTTTTTTACTTCATTACTCTTTATTTACATTAATATATTTAAGACTTTATCCAAAATAAAACATCAAATTATTTATGAAGAATAAAATATTATAGTAAACGATTTCTACAAATTAAAAATTTTCAGTGATATTTTAAACAATACTTCTTATCATTTTAAATTACTCAGAGTTGTTATTTTAATATTTGTAATTTATTTAAAATAATTTACATATTACCTAGAAACACGAAAATATGTAAATCATATGAAATAATTAATATATAATAGATAGTCAAGAAAATAGTTGATATCTATATTTTATTACGTTAAAATGTTTCGGATTTTTATCGTAAATATTATCGTAATTATAATAAAGAATTTGTACAAATTGATAATAATCTAAATATATAAAATTGCTTGTCCTGACTGATTGAATGATTGACTGACTGGGTGATTCATCATCGCCCAGAGCAAACGGCTGACCTAAAGAGGTGAAATTTGGTACACAGTTAGGGTACGTCATAAAAACGCACACTAAGAAGGGATTTTTCGAAATTCCCCGCGGGGGAAGAGGGAGAGGTTTAAGGCTTAACCGAAAAAACGGCTTATACTGTACTATTTTAGATGCGATTTTTTTCTTTTTATATGCGTTTTAGTAGGGTATGCAATGGGAATTCACATTAAGAAAAGATTTTTCTAAATTCCCCGCGGGGGGAGAGGGAGAGGTTTAAGGCTTAACCCGAATAACGGCTTTTACTGTACTATTTTAGATGCGATTTTTTGTTTTCAACTACGTTTAGTCTTTATTGAGTACTTAGGTGTATTAAATTGATAACATTTCAGACATTGTTATAAATATTTGTATTTATTTCGATTTAAAAATGTGCGAACCGTTTTAAATTCCAATTTGTTATTGTTATTGCATACTGGTTCGATCATAGAAAGATTGTTAACGTTCCAGAAAATTGATCAAATTGAAAATAGTTCGTTTGATTCTCGGCAATTTTCTTCAGCGGTAGGTGTTATATAACAATTACTATGGTTATTGAAATATTGAATGTAAATATGGTTTAATTTTTAATTTTAATTTAATAATAATAATTTAAATATAAAAAGAACTATCGGACGAAAAACTTACGAATTATGACTGTAAAATATGGTCACTAGAAGAACCTTTTTAATCTACATTTTCCAGAGCATTCTTCTCAGTGCATAAAAGGCCGAAACACCTTCAAGAAAGTACAGATAGTAAGAAGAAAGACGTTCGTATAACACCAGTTCTGATTTTAGAAAATCTTTGTGTTTTTAATCGGATATTTTTTTGTGTTTTTAAATGGACTTTTTTAAACTTTTCGGCGGCTAGTAGCCTAGAAAGGAAGGTCGGTCGCCGGAAATGTATTGTCTTACACAAAAAATGGTGATCCCTATATGGGCGAACTTGTCCTCAAATATTATTAAAAAATAAAAAGAACCATCGGACAAAAAAATTACGAATTATAAAAACTAATTAAACAAATTTTAATTATGGCAACTGTATGCATGTCAACAATAGTTTTTATATAATGTATTTACGTATGTGTGTGTATATATATGTTTTGTACTTAAAGTGTAATTCTCCGAAGATACTAGTTATATTTCCATTCTTCTTATAAAAATACACAAGTATATACGTCTGTATTCTTGTCACTGATGTACGAACGTTTTTGATATTTTACTTATTATATATTAATAATTAGAAATATTGAAAACTAAATGTGACTTTCTGTCCTTAAAAAATTGCTAACTAGAAAATTTTTTAATGGATTTAAAAAAAAAATTATTATTTGTTAATTTCAGATAAACAATGAATAACAAACAATAAACTTGCATAACTGATCAGATTTCCTTTACTTTTTTCAGATAAATTTGCTGTCATTCTCCTAAGACACATTCAAATTGCAGAATGAAATTGGATTGCGTAAGAAGAATTTTTTTCCGTATTTTTAAAAAATTAGGAAAAACAGTTGGACGACATCCATATTACTTTATAATTTTACCGATAATTTTGTCAATTACACTTTCCATATTTATCAGAACATTAACTACCAGTAAGACATTTAACGATATAATAACTCCCGATACAGGAAAACATTTTACAGTGAAGAAATTCATAGAAAATACATTCTCGTATAACTCATCTCAATTTTCTGATCAGCTAAGAACTCCTGATTTACCAAATATTCTGGCAATATACCTGTTGAAAAAAGACGAAGGAAACATGTTTGAAAAAAATATACTTTCAGAAGTAAAATTGTTCGACGAAATCATACATAATATAAAATTAGAAACTGACGGAAAGACAATACAATATACAGATCTTTGCACACGTAAACACAAAAAATGCTTTCAAAATCCTATTATCGAAGTGATATCAGAAGTGGGAATTGATTCCATACTACAAAAGAGAAAGAAGCTAAAGTATCCTGTGGATATAGATCTCTTGTCTTTCACTTATAAAGCTTATTTTATTAATTTAGGGGGTGTTACAGAAGATCATAACAACTTCGTAGAAAAAGTAAATGCCGTTTTTTTATTTTATGCAACTGATGATAAAAATGAAGTAAAAAACAAATTATTTGCAAAATGGTCAGCTCATGTTTATGACAAAATTCAAAAATTTAATTTCACGTATATCAAAGCTGTTCAAAGTTCTGTTCCAATCTTGGAACAAGAGTTTCGAAAAGAATTTGATAGAACGAAACCAAAAATTGGAGGTTTGGTCGCAATTATGATTGTACTTTCGATATTTCTGAATATGAGCAATAGCTGGGTGAAAAGCAAACCTCTTCTTGGATTAGCAAGTGTGATTAACGCTGTTCTGGCTGTATCGTCGTCTTTTGGATTAATGGCTGCATCGGGTGTTGAATTCACTTACTGGAATGCTACGATTCCATTCTTAGTTCTTGGTAAGTATATCAATGTTGCTGCAATCGTACATTAGCGATAACGCTGATATATCAATATTACGAATTTTGCATGTATTTCAGTTACCGAGATAGATGATGCTTTTGTATTAATAGCATGTTGGAGAATTACTGATCCCAAACATTCAGTTGAAAAACGCATGGAAGTAACATATGGAGAAGCAGGAGTTTCCATTACTTTAACATCGCTTACTAATTTCATTTCGTATTGCATTGGAATGATGGCTCCTTTTCCTTTTATTCGAATATTCAGTTATTATACTGCAACTTGTGTCGTTTTAAATTTTGTTTATCAAATAACGTTTTTTGGAGGATGCTTGACTATGAGTGGATATAGAGAAGAGCAGAATCTTCGTTCTAAAAAATTTGTCAGATGTGGTAAGTTGAAATTTATTTATAAAGAAAGATAACATTTAATTAAATTAATTATTATGTGTTTGATATACAAGATGATGTTTGAAAGATAATATAAATTATACTAAAAATATCTGTTACCTGAGTTTTTTCTTACACAAGTTTAGTTAGTTCATATTTTTGAATTTGAAGTACATATAGAGTGTTACTGTTTTAACGAGCTTTTGATTACACTACAAATAATTAATTAATTAATACGAAATTTATATTTAATCGTATATTGATTCTGCTTGATATAAACGTTTGTGGTGGAAAAACGTCTATTCCAACATGTAACATATATGATAAGAAAACTGAATAACCGAATAAAATCCGTAGTTTTTTCGTAGACAGTGTTTGTCACATGAAGTTTTTTTCAGTTATAAGTGATATCTGCTAGCAATGCCTACACGAGGAGCAGAAGAACATACTCGTAAAAATCAGACCGAAAAACCGAAGTAAAAAAACCGAAAAACCAAAGTAAAATAACCGAAAAACCATAGGATTCTATGATGCAGAACATGTAAAGTACAAACAAATATATTTATGATGTCGATTTTCGTTTCATTTTTATTTCTTTCATTACATTGATATTGCATTCGACATTGAGTTTGATATAGATATATCAATTAGTTTTGAACCTTTCTATTGTATATTACATTACATTAATGGAAATGTACAAAAGAAAAATCATTCGTACGTTACCGTTTGGAATGTTGGTCTAATAGAAATCCTAACATGTCCGAAACATGATAAAATTTTATCAATACAGAAAATAAATAAATAACTGAAGGCATTTTAATGAATACTTATAAAATGTTAGTATTTAGTTTGTTACATATTTAATGAGATTTCTTTTTATTATATTTCAATGGATAAAAAATATATGTAAACAGCGTATACAAATAAAAATAGTAGTCACAATGCATATGTCTGACAGATCGTGATAGTAAGAAAGTTTCAGAAATTGCAGAACAATAAATTATCAAAATTATGTCGCGTTATTTTCCTTTGGAATGGTTAACAGTTTTCTCTAAGTCAACAGAAAATTATTTTTCGATGTACGAAAACGTTATGAAATATATAAATAAAGAATATAATTACTTACAAACTTTTCACAGTAGTTATACTACGGTAAAAAACGTTTCTGTTATTTTTATCTTAATATGATTACAGTGTACTTCGATGTATTCCTCTGTTTTCGTGTTATATAATTTTAATTAAAGCTTTATCTACAAGTATGAAACATGTTTCTCTTTCATGATAACACAGATGTCTATGTGAATTTAATAACAAATTCTTTCATGACGCTTTTGCAATAATTTGATTCCTTTCTTCGACAATTATACAAATAAAAATTTTAAACACGAACCTGAAAAAAGACTAGACTAAAATCTAACAAATTTTTCTGAGATATTACACTAAGTAATATTATACTGTATTGAAAATTAATATTATTTTTTCAGACTTATAAATGTTCCTAGTTCCACTTAGATCTGATTCTACAACGCTTACTAATGTTAACTGTTTCCATTATCGCTGAAAGAACAAAATATAGCCTACACCTGAAGTAGCAAACTTTTCTCGTGAGTGCCCAAAGAGGCACATCAAAGAAATGTTATATAACCCGTAAATTATCATGTGATTCAAATTATCACTTGTTTTTTAAATGTTTTGTCGGTTATTCATCTAATTGGATTTTCTAATCAGCTTCATTTTATGTGTCAATTACATCATTTTCACTTCGTTTTTTAGTTACTGTTATTAAAAGTCTAAAACCCCGGCGCACATAATTATTTTAACAAATGAGTATGCTTACTCAACATTACGCAAACACAGAAATTTTCGGTAGTTTGTTTTACACAAAAATAGAAAAACGTGTAAATAACAACGATATGATAATAACAAGTCAATACATTAAAAAAAAAGCTTTAGCACATGCAAGCTCACTACTCGTTTATTACACAACTAAAGTAATAACAAAATAACATTACTTCCGTTTTATTACTATTTATTGCTAAGTAAAAAAATAATTTTTCGATTTAAATAAGAAACAAATACCAGTTACATTCTACAGTTTACACAAGATCGGCCTACGTCATCACCTTCAACTAATTCTACGTAAAACTTTCAGCTTGAATAGTAAACTCTTAGTTTACTACTTATTGAAAATTTATAAAAACAGTTTGATAAATTTTATATAATACTTTCGAGTTTTCAATATGTTTTGCTTTATATATTAATTTCAAACTTTCATTTTAGAACAAAATGATGAAGATAACCAGAATAATGACGCCAAAGAAGAAGAATTTACTATGGCACATTTTAGAAATTTATTAGGAAAGATAATTTCCAATCCAATAGTAAAGATAAGTATTGTTATAATTTACATTATTAACTTTTCATTCGGAATATGGGGCACATTTCACATGGAACATGGCATTAAGTATGAACGTTTATTTGCAAAAGACTCTATAATTACAGAAAGCTACAGTATCGCTCAAAAGTACTTTAGACGTTATTCGTATCCATTTCACATAATTATTAATGAAACGTTGGATTACTCAGACATAAAAGTACAAAAATCGATAGAAAAACTGTTGACAAAATTCGAGAAACATCCAAATATTGCCGGAGAAGAATTCACTGTGTCTTGGTTGAAATTCTACAAAGAATTTCAGAAAAGTCCTGTAGCAAAATTTTCATTACAAGGCTACAATATGTCAAACAAGCAGGACTTTATCGATGGACTTCGGGATGTGTTCTTTAGTATCCGAGCTGCTCAGTCACTGTCTAATGATGTCGTCTTTAATAGCAACAAAACTGATATTTTATTCAGTAGATTTTTTATTATGGGAAAAAATTTGAATTCTTCATACTCAGAAAGAGATACATTAAGAGATTTATTTAGAATTGCTGACGAATTCGACACTCCTGTACTTGTGCATTGTATTTTTGCAGGTCTTATCGAGCAAGGAATCATCATTGGAGAAATGATTCAACAATTGTTTTGGATAACTGCCATATTGATAGCAGCAGTTTTTTTACTATTTGTACCGAATTTACTAGTTGCAATTACTGTAGCAATATCTGTCGTATCGGCAATGGTAGAAACATTAGGCTATATGTTGTTTTGGGGAGTCAACTTAGATATTATATCAATGATGAGCCTTATTCTGTGTGTGGGATTCAGCTTGAACTATCCTGCTCATATTTCGTACGCATATGTCATGTCACAATGCGAAACACCAAACGAAAAACTAAAAGATTGTCTGTATCGTATTGGTTTTCCAATATTTCAAGGATCATTGACCACGGGAATAGGAATATTGATTTTATATTCTGATGTATATTTTCTTTGCACATTTGCAAAAATTGTAATACTAGTTGCTATGGAAACGGCTTTTCATGCTTTGCTTTTTATTCCTGTTATTCTTTCTATCATTTATGCTATTTTCAATTATTGACTAATTTGTTGTCAAGTGGGAAATCTTTATCAAATACTAATTTTTAAAATCTGTTGGTAAATAGGTAAAGGTAGTGTGTAGTAGTAGTAGTAGTAGTATTAGTAGTAGTTCCTGTAATGCCAAGTAGTATACTAGGCAGCAATTATTTTCAATCACTTTCGATTTTGAGATATGGCTATAGCTTTCTTCCATGCAAAGTATATCTGAGATCTTCTCATTGTCGAATCAATTTTATGGCTGCCTTAGCAATTCTATTATAAGAGTACAACCTGCCGACCACATTTTTTTTTGTCGTCGGCAGTTTGTACTCTTTTCAAGCGACAGTGCTACGAAGTTTACACATTTCACTTCTTGAGAGGATTTCTTCATTGGTGATATGATCTGAATATCGGTTTTTTAAAATTCGTCGTAAGCATCAATGTAGAAGACATCTAGCCTTTTTAGTTGTTTCCTGATGTTTCGCAGGACTCATTAGCATAAATAACTATCGAAATTATGTAGAAGTAAACAAATTTCGTTCACGAAGAGATGGACGAGATCGGTCGCCGCCCTTCTATCCAGGCACTTTACGTCTACTTTTGTTTCACTATTCTGGGAAATAACACTTGAAAAAGGTCGAGAGTTTCACTTACTTACGTAAGTGAAACTCTCGACCTTTCTCAAGTGTTGTGTGTGTTGACAACTATTTGCGTTTGGGAAGAAATATAAAATATGTACTGTACATGCCTAATTTTTGAGTGTGCAGCTGTTATTGTGAGGCCAATTCTGTTTTCCTCCTGACTCAATGTGGCTATGGCATAATGTAGCATTATCTTATTCTTTCCCAATAGGGCATTATCGACAACTAAAACCAAATCTATACTAATATTATAAAGAGGTAATGTTTGTAAGTTTCTTTGCAGCAGGTAATCTCCGAAACTACTCATCTGATTTCAAAAATTCTTTCACCAATATTTAGAATGGAACCTCAGGGTGGACATAGGCTGTATATTATTCCGTTAAACATTCATATAAATTAAAATATATAATGTAAGCTTAAGGCTTTTATGTCAACAGATGGCGCTACGAGTACGACGCCCTAAGTTTTTTTTTCTGTGAGGCATTCTGCTTTTCTGTGAAAATGAACTAAAGCAGAACATCTATATAAATAAAAATGTAATGTTCGTTTGTTCCTACCGATTTCTTTGAAATTTTGACACAACGCTGCATTCGAATACGCATGTGTTTTTATATAATATACATGTCGAAAATACCCTCCGGGTGGAGATGGACAGGATTAAGGCTTACCGTAAAGCACTCTGCTTCTATACTATTTTCGATGCAGTTTTTTACGTTTTTGATTGCGTTTTAATAGGGTACGTCAACATAATATACAGTACAAAGAGATTTTTCGATAGTCTTCCCGCTGGGGAGATAGAAAGGATTAAGGCTTATCGTGAAAAACTTGGCTTCTATTATACTATTTAAGATGCGGTTTTTTGCGTTTTTGATTGCGTTTTAATAGGGTACATCAAGAAAATGTACACTAAGGGATTTTTCGAAAAATTCCCCCCCCCCACGAGAAAAGTGTTATACATTTATAATAGATATATTTTGAGCCACAACAACGCATGGCAGGGTGTGCTGGTTTCTAATATAATCGTGGTTAGACCAGTGGATATCGGCCCCTATAACCGCAATGCGCCTATCTGCCTGTCGCAAAATCGAAGGCGACAAGATAGAGGTAAGGCAACAGAACAGAACCCTGCCTGACTCCAATCGTAATTTTTAAGAAGTCGTTACTGCCGTTATCAGTCTTAACGCAACTACTTAAATGCAAATGTAAGGTCTTGAAATAAGTGAAAAAGTTTGACGGTACACCATACAGCCGCAAATTTCTTCAGAGGAACACGCGGTGATCACTGTCAAAATCCCTCCTGAAATAAATGAATTCGAACGCCAATGAGAGTCTATATTCAGAGCATTGTTTGATAATTTTTTGAAGAAATAAGTTTTGCTTGCTGCACGATCTTTCCGATTTGAAACCCATCTTGCTTCTTTCGCAATCGCTGATCGAAGGCAGTTCTTAGGCATCGAAGGAAGACTACACAGCATGCCTATACAGGCACAGAAAGGAGGGTGAGACTTTGTCAGTTCGTACACTGGGAGACGTTTCCTCTCTTAAGAAATTTGATTATAGTGCATTTTCTCCAATCCTCTGAATCTTACCCAAAATTTAAGCATCTGTTAAACAGTAGCGTTAACTTGTTTAACAGGGGTGGTCCTCAGTGCTTCAAAATGTTAGCCGTTATTTCGTCCAAATCGGCTGACAACCTTTTTAGCTGAGTCGGATTTGGAGCAATTGGAGCGACATGCGACAATCGGGCAACGCGGTTAAAGGGGCCCCGCAGCACGTCAAAATTTACATAATAAAAATATTTACAAATTACAGAATAGATTAAACAGTTTAGCGATCATGTCGATTGAGAGTCAAAAAGCAAGCCAGTTGGATTTTGATACTATTATATTACAGAACAAGAACTTCGAAACATATAAAACATCTTTTTATAGGTTTATATTTAATAAAATTCAGTTATATTCATTCATCAGCTTAGTAAACATTTTTTCATGGCAAAAGTTTTTGTAGATATATTCGTTTTAAAATATAGAAGTACTAAAACATATCAATATGTGTCTATATTCAATAAAATTTGTTGTTTTTATATTTGGTTTGGGTTTTTAATGTAGAAATTTATCTACCTTATGGTTCATGACTTTTTATAATTCGAATTATGGATTTTGTTTTAAATAAATATTTAAAATCTGTATTTCAATAAGTAAATTAATTGTTAATTAATTTTATTATTTAAAGTTTAAGTGTCTCGCAAAAAAAAAAAAAAAAAAATTCAATCAGGCCTAGCACCTATGGCATCTGGACCTGCAGTTTATGCTCCCCATTGCAAACTTCATTTTTTCAAATGTAATATCATTAGTGTTACCCGCAGTTCATGCCATGTGTTTTCAATATCAAAATCGTTTGACGGTCAATTTTGTTTCATTAAATGTTTTTTTGGAAATATTTCATCCACCTTCTGTTCTGCACATCTTGAGCGATTAGAAATTTCCCGTTTTTATTTTTTATTACAACGCAGTCATCATCCATCCCAGTCAGATCATTGACTATGCGATATACGGTTTTGGATTCATCTCGATCGAAAACCTCTTGCACTTCACTGCCATTCTATTCTAACCGTTTTTTCTTGTTTTCCGACAACTTTTCTTTACACGTCTATCTAACTGGACATATCTTTGCCTTTTTTCTCCATCTCAGCCATTGTTTTATCCTGGTCACTTTTAAGTTTTGCGGCTTTTTTCTCATCAATTAGTTTCCACCAGCGATCTTGGATGCACTGATCCTCTCCTATTCCTCGACGTCTTCCAATGATATATTGCCCACATTCCGTGACAATGTATCTGAGATCTCTTTTAGTTGGAGAGATGATCTGACATTTCCTCCAACTAGGGACAAGAGATTTTGTAACTCCAGAGTAAATTCTTCAGCAACGATTGGATCATTTAATTTTTCTATCGCGAATGGTCTATTTACCATGAGCTGCTATTGATTACGAAGCTTAAGCTTAATATTTGCCTTAATTAACTAGGTAATGGTATGATCCGATATATAAACTTCTGTAAACCTGACATCTCGCATTGATGACTTCCTCCTTTTACTAATACAAAGTTATCTCATTGAAAGTGCATGTTTCTGGAGAACGCTAGGATTATTTATGGATCAGCCGTTGTTAGAAGTAGATGTTCCCAAAGCACGTACCGTTGAATATACAAAAAGATTGCTGTTTCCGTAGCACTCATAATTTTTACATGGACGCTTACACCTAATTATATATCAGGTAAACATTTTCTAATATTCAAACTCGGTTTTTTAATTCCTCGGTTATTTGTATGTATAGACTATTATTGTTAATATCTCAAATTATTGATTTAAAATATAAAATTACAGCTTAATCTATTAAAGAAAATTTTGTTGAAGGTTATTTTTCAAAGCATTTATTCACTGCATAGAAGTTGTGTATTAACAGTTTATTTTTGTAATGGTTAATGTTGTTATTATCGATTTGTATGAGAATATGTTTATATATGTAACCTGTAAGTATATGAAATTAAATTTTTATNTGGAGAACGCTAGGATTATTTATGGATCAGCCGTTGTTAGAAGTAGATGTTCCCAAAGCACGTACCGTTGAATATACAAAAAGATTGCTGTTTCCGTAGCACTCATAATTTTTACATGGACGCTTACACCTAATTATATATCAGGTAAACATTTTCTAATATTCAAACTCGGTTTTTTAATTCCTCGGTTATTTGTATGTATAGACTATTATTGTTAATATCTCAAATTATTGATTTAAAATATAAAATTACAGCTTAATCTATTAAAGAAAATTTTGTTGAAGGTTATTTTTCAAAGCATTTATTCACTGCATAGAAGTTGTGTATTAACAGTTTATTTTTGTAATGGTTAATGTTGTTATTATCGATTTGTATGAGAATATGTTTATATATGTAACCTGTAAGTATATGAAATTAAATTTTTATGTTATAAAATAAAGTAATATTATGTTTCTGTTATTCACAATTGCACACGAATGCTGTCATAGGTAAGCAAACATTTTTCATGATTGGACAGAGTGAACTACATTTAAGTAGTTAATTTAACTGAATTATAAAATGAATAAAAAGTTTATTAGGTAAATTTATCTGAAACTAAGTAACTTTTTTAACAACTTGATGAAAATTGTCGAACTTATCTATATCTATATTTAGATATAGAGAAGTTCGACTGATTTGTTTTCAATTTGACAAAAATTGTAGACTTGTAAATTCCCACAGTCTTTTCTTTTTTAATTAATCTGGCGAAACCGATTAGTTAGATGTATGATTTGACAGGCTACGGACATGAAGCCTCGATTAACTATACAGGAACTCTCAGTAAGAAT